GTAGTAACAATTAGTCAAAACAATTTAAATAATGTAGTGTTGAAAAACAATCTACAATGCCAAATTGTCAAAAATACTAAAGTCATAAAAAATAATAAATACATAAACTAATATCAACCCTGAGCTCATGAAAACCAAAAGACATGTCCTACGATCATAATTATTTCTTGACACCACCATAGTGCCAACTAATTCTGCAAAGGAAGTTGGGTTGCACTCAAATGGAACGCAATCGAGTTGCCAAGAGATAAAACGGGTCAATATACAGGTATATTGGTATACTGGTATGAGTACAAGATTTAACACTCACGTGTCCACCAGACACAAAAAAAAAATACATTTAATTTTTGTTATAGGACAAGACAAGTAGTTTTATCCGCACCGAGATGAATGGGTAGTTTCCTCGAAATACGGTGGCATTTAGTTTCTTATCCGTACGCAATGAAATATAAATTGACTATAAAATAAAAAAAATAAAAATAAAAATATGGTGGGCTAGCCCTGCATAAAAAGTTAGTAAGACCCACCATCTTGAAAAAAATAAAATTAGCATAATTTAATCATAATTAACTTGCTAAAGAAGTATCAAAATGCACCGTTTCACACTTAAATAATTCGAATTGACCAAAACTCAAAGAACAAAAGTTGTACAGAATCAAATTTTCTAAAAGACAAGGCGAACAAATTTAGTAGAAACTGAACAGGTTGAGAGAAAAACTAGATAGAAGAACCTAAACGGAATTCAACTGAAAAATCTGAAGCTGAAAACGAACAGAAACTTTCTTAAGACGATTTTTTCGGAAAATTTCAAAACACGAAAAGTGTTCAAAATAATGTTTACTTCAGTTTACGTGAAACCAATAAAAATGAACTCATTTCGTGGGTTAAAACAGTCTCTAAAATCTGCATTGCTAAAATGAATCAAAATTACTATAATCAAGATCATTCGATTATAAGTTCTAATCGGTCTTTTTAATAAAAAGTTAAAATACAAAAGTTGTCTAGAATCACGGATATATGCCTCTCCTCAAATTTCATAATTTATCAAGGTCGTTTACTATTTTTCAAGATGTACAAATCAATACAATTCACACTATAACAATAAACTCATATTTAATTCTTTGTACTTTAACTCCACCATTTTGGCCCATCACTTCCGGCCTACACACATATCCCATGTGCCTCCTGCATACCTAACACCTCAAAACACTCGTCCACTCATGAGAACGAGGCAACAATATACATATACAAAACATCTCACTCATGAGAACAAACATAATAATGCCAAACTTAAGGCATTCAAATAAATGCCATATTCCTCACTTTTTTTTTATACACTCTTTCTCACTAACACTCAAATAAAATAACAATCCATGGAGTCATGGTGGAGTATAAGGAATTTATTTATGGGTTCCTAATTAATTTTAATTTCATATAACCATGAGTGTGATTACAATCATAAAATAAATCCATATAAAAAAATCCTAAACTTGGCATACACAACTAATCAAAATAATTAAAATCAATTAATCAATCAACTAAAAACTCTAAATCTTACATACACAACTAAACAAAATAATTAAAATCAATCAATCATAAAAAAACCCAAAACCTTACATACACAACTAATCAAAATAATTAAAATCGATCAGTCATCTACATGCATAATATGAAATCAATTCAACATCAAATAAATAAAAACAATGAGTTAAATATAAATCAATGGAAGTGGATTTTGTATTCACAAAATTTTTTTGAAGATCAAAAAATTATTTGAAGAACTAATGGAGCCACCAAAACAAAACTCTAATCTTTTTTTTCTCCTCATTTCACTCCTCTCTTTTTTTCTTCCTCCCGTCGTTCCTCTCTATGGGTTAAGCCACAACACCCTCTTCTTTCTCTCCCTCTCTCTCTCTTTCTCACGGTCTTGCTGCTCTCCTCTCTTTTTTTTTTCTTTCTTTGTTTTCTTTTGAACTTCTAAACCTAGTTGACTACTTTTAGGGTGTGTTTGATTGGGGGGATAGGGGGAATATTTCCTGTACGGATTGTAATCCAAGAGAAGCATCCAATCCGCCGTTTGTTTTTTTTTTTAGTCCGCCGGACATGGACTTCTTATCCCCCAGATGGGGGACTACTGTATCTTGGGGGGGTGTATGGGACAATTTTTTGGGGACTATCCACTGTTGGAATTAGGTGGTAAAATGACCATTTTGACCATCTATTATTTAATTATGTATTATATTTAATAAAATTTAAATTTCTCAATTTGAAAATAAAATAATTTTATTTAACTTTTTATTGATGTTTTATTTATTTAATTTTTTTAAAATAATTTTTTGTCAAAATTTTATTGATGTTTTATTTTAAAATTTTGTTTATATTTTATTTAATTTCATTATTTAAATTTAATAGATGTTTTATTTAATTTCATTGTTTAATTATTATTATTTTTAAAAACAAATTTATTTAAAATTTTAATGAAAAAAATAACATATATTTTTATTGATATTTTATTTATTTAATTTTCAAAAAATAAATTTACTTAATTGTGTAAAAAATAAAATAAAATAAATTTTTATTTAGTCTAGCTAAAAATAATTAAAATATTAAAAATATGTTTGATATTGCTATTACTTAGTAAACAATTGAAAGGGTAAAATAGTCTTTTGTTCATTTATCATATCCAATCTGTCCAACCAAACATTAGATTCACAAGTCATTTCCAGACATCTGATTCCATGAAAAAAAACAAACACATGATACATATCCAATCAAACCAAATAATCCTGGGGATTCACAGTCACAGAATTCAAGTCCGATGAATTTTAATCCCCCTTATCCAGCCCGTCCCATCAAACACACCCATATTATATTATATATATAATAACTTAATTTCCTATTATATTATATTATATTATATTATACAAATAAATCACATATATAAATATAAATATCTTATATAAAATTTATATCAATAATTTATTTTTTAATATATATAAAATATATAAATATAAATATTTAGATTAATTATATATAATTAACTTACACATTAAATTAATTAAATACCACATTAAATTCTTATATAAGTACGCAATTAATAAAGTCAAAAATAAAATCAAGTAATAATAAATAAATAAAGACTTATGAAGAAATCAGGGTTGTTACAGGGTAGGCCCTAAGGGGCACCCAAGTTTTATAGAGGGAGGTTATGGATAAAGTGGGCTAGACCCATTGGACCCAAAATAAACACACACGCGTGCGCTGCCGTCCGGTCGGGCAAGCAGGTTGGGCTAGGCTTGGGCGCGGGTGTGTGGTGTGAGGTTGGGTTGGGCTTGTCCGGCCCAATACCTATCTTTTTGGGCTAAAAACATTTGAATTTAATTTTATTTTTTGGTAAAATAAAATCTGTCTAGAATTTGAAATTAATTCCGAAATCTGTCCAGTTTTCCCTCCACCTAAACAGGTCTATATCTGGCCAATATAAACAGGACAGATTCAAATCTACTTAAATTTCAAACCCAAACAGTTCGTATCTGTTGAAACAGTGCCTTACCTGTTCAAATTAAAACCATACCTGTTGGATTCAAATCTGTACAGCCACCTTTACATCTATAAATAGGCAGTCCCTCACTTGGTTTTTTCACTTAATTTTCGTTCCAAAATTCTGCCTGCTCTCTCTGCATTTTGCTGCATTTAATTTTCTGTGAGAAAAAGTGTAAACACGAAGTGTGTTCGTTGTACGAATAATTTGTAGTGCTGTTATTATTCGCAGATGACCATTTTATCCTGGAGGATAGACGTCCACAATCTAAAAGCACCATGGAGAGGAAGAATCTATCTTAAGGACACGGTGTTAAACACTGGATTTGATCAATAAAATTTGTTCAACAAATTAATTTGGTAAGTAATTAATTTACTTTCTGTTTTATTATTTTTCTATTTCAGATTTTGATATTGTTTTTGTAACAAAATAAAAATCTATTTTTATTTATTTATTTATTTTATTTTCTGGTTTGATTTTTGTAATCAAACAATCTCTCTCATTTTCTTTATTTCTTCTATTTGTTGTTAAGTACACAAATATAATTTATTCGTAATACAGTGAATATTGTCCAACAAAAGTATTGAGTCTCATTCTCTGAACCAATAAAAATCGAAAAAAGAGGCAGACCCCCACTGGGGGTGACTCCCAGGGCCCCTAGTGGGGTGTGGTTGGTCCAATTTTTTTTTTGTTTTTTGGTTTAGTCTTGGTTTGGCAGCCCCTCACGCGGAGGTAGAGGTGCTGGGGGTCACCCGCCACTGGGGGTTCCCAACACTGCCGATAAAAATCTAGTTACAATAAGAATTGAGGTTGTTGTTGTGCCATGTAAGGCCTGTGAGAGTTTGTCTTAGGCATGTTTCGATATTCTGAATTGTTTTTATTGTGGAGTTTATTGAGTAAATCATCTATGTAAAAAATCAGATTAATTGAACATTTGTAATCTCATAATAAAATCACATTTGTTTTCGTTTTTCTGTTAAATAACAATTAACATAATTTTAACAATTTTTAAAAAAATAATAAAGATCAAATCATGGGATTACAGATAATCTCACGGCAAGACATGTGCCATATATTCCCCACGGGCTACTGTGCGGGCCACTGGAGGTTTGTCCGGTCGTTAACTTCAGGGCCCTCAGGATTAATCCCATGCTTCGGCTGTGGGGATACCTGAGTCGAAAACCTGAGAAAAAAAAAAAAAAAAAAAAAAGAAAAAGAAAAAAAAAAGAAGAAGAAGAAGAAGAAGAAGAAGACATGTGCCATATATCGCAACAACCCAGTTAGGACGGACAACACATGAACATCAATAACATGTGGTCCAAAAATAAATAACTAGAATGTCCAATTTAGTGAGACTTGCCATAATTGCCATACCTATATCTGCATATATCCACCATTCTTCTTCAACCCCCACCCATGTGACAAACATTTGAATGTTAGACAGATCAACATTTTAAAGTATATATATCACGTAATGGCATCTTTGCCATTCATGATCACGAGAAATCTAGAAAATTTGATGAAAATGAAGGTTGAAATCATCTCCAGCAAGTTCATAAAACCATCACTCCCAACACCCCCTACCCATCGAAAATACAAGCTTTCGTTCTTCGATCAGCTCGCTCCTCCCGCCTATCCCGGCATCGTCTTCTTCTTCCTTTCAAATGACAAAAACCATGAAGCCCAAGCTGAGAACGACAATGTCAAGTGGCTCAAACAGTTAGAGAAGTCGCTCTCTGATATCTTAGTACATTTTTATCCGCTAGCAGGTAAACAAAGATGGACTTAAAGAGGGGAAATGGACATACTTCATTTACTATATGATAGTGTTAGTTATTAATTATTTTCAAATTATACAGATTAATTTTTTTTAAAGAAAAAAATAAAATTTTAAGTTTTAGTTTCTCTTTAACCTATTGTTGTGGATAAGAAGCCTTAACCCACATAGCATGAAAAGAAACTACTAGAGTTATCAAGTTAGTACTTCATCACCTAAAAAAATATATTACTTGTCGTTTTACGCTCTCTCCCCTAAAAAAGTTTTTATTTTATTTTAATTTTTTTAGTGACTTATTTTTTAAAATATGTGTGTCAAATAGGTCCGACTAGTCTAAAAAATCTAAAAAGTATTTTTTTTTTATTCCAAAAAAAGGTTCATTAAAGAAAAATTCAACTTGTTTAGATGGTTTCCTGAAAACACTTTTCTGAATTTTTTTTTTTATTTTTCGTATTTTTTTATTTTCAATAAAATTTTAAAATATTTTAAGTAATTTTTTTATTTTTTAGACACACTTAACATAAATACACTTAAAAAATATAATATTTGTGAAAAAATATTTAAAAAATTCACTAAATATCAAAAATACAAAAAAATACAAAAATTTAGTACATATTTTTATGTTTTTGTGTATTTATTAATTTTTTAAAATATTTTTTCATAAATTTGTTACTATTTAGATACATCTAAGTAAGGTGCATCTAAAAAAATAAAAAAAAATTGATTAAAATTTTAAAAATATTCACTAAAAACAAAAAAAAAAACTCAATTTTTAAAAAATTAAATTCAGAAAACTGAAATCAATCATACTAATTTATTCTCTCTTTTTTTAGTAACAGTACAAATTTGGAAATTTTATTATGAATTTTATCCTAAAACATCAACCTATAATTCAGATTAATTCATATTTGGACTTGGCTCCATATTTTTTCATCTTATTTTTCATTTTTCGTCTCCTCTATGTTAGGTAAGTATGTGAAAGAGGATCTCTTGGTTGATTGTAACGACCAAGGGGTTGAAGTTTTTGAAGCACGAGTACATAACATTTCACTCGCAGAGCTTGTCCATGGAAGACCTGAGCTGGTGGATTCTTTTGCTCCCACTGCAATGGCCATGGCTAGCTCGAACCCGAGTCCAGTAGCCGCCATCCAGATCAGTACGTTTGAGCAGGGTGGATTTGCAGTGGGGATGCGCATTTCGCACAAAATCATTGATGGGTTTACACAGGCAACATTCATCAAAGAATGGGCAATTGCTAGCAAAGAAGGGATTGAAAAAGCAATGTGGCCGAGTTTCGAGTTGGGTTCTCTTTTTCCAGCGAGAGAACTTTCTGACCTCAAGCCGCATCCGCGGAGGGACCAAGGGGTTAAAAAGCTTGTCGCTAAGAGGTTTGTGCTCGATGCTGCAACGATATCAACCTTGAAAGCCAAAGTTGTTGGAGTTTCTTTGGGTAAGGAGGGAAGCTTTAAAAGTTTGTGTTTTCCCATTTGTTTGAGTTTGATTTTTATTATTTTAAAAATATTAAATTTAAATTCAAGACTGAGTTTGGGTAGGATGAAAGGCTTAGAAAGAAGAGGAAAAAGAAAATTTTAAATATTTTTTGGGATTTTGTTTAGGGGAGAAAAATGCATGAAAGTAAAATTTCTTGTACAATTAATCTTTGGTAAAATTTTCCTTTTATGCTTTTGTTTTAAATTTTTTTTTTTTTTTTAAACTTGAAATAAAGATTTGTTGTTATACTGTGTTTTGTCATTTTTTTTTGATTTTAAAATTTTGAAAACAAAACAGTGTTTTACTTGTTTTTTTTTAAAAAGAATTATTCTCTCTGCTTCCTTAGCTCTAGCCACCATCCACATCGACAACCTTTTAGTGAGCTCTGGTCACCTTTCGACAGGCTCTAAATAATCAAACACTCATCACACATGGCCTCAAGACACATTCCGACAGCCTTCAACCATCCCGTAACATTCTGGCCATCAATTCCAATGATCAACCACTACAATAGTCCACACTCCACCACTAACTACAATCTCCAACAACTCACCAAATATATTTATTTAATTTTGTTTTATTTATTTTTAAAACTTTTGTGTACATCAAGCAAGTTTTTTTTTTTAATGTTTTAGCTTTCAATTTTTTGTGTAAAAAAAAAATTACAAAATATCTCTTAACTTTCTTCCAAAATTTTGATCAACCAAATAAAGAAGAAAATAAATTTTCTTTTTATTGTATTTTTTTCACTTTACTTCACTTTATGCAACCAAACAGCTAAAACCAAATGATGTTTGATTTTTGGTTTTTGGACAATATTTCAACTAGCCTATACTCTTTAACTTACATTTTTTTATTTATTTACTCATGTATTTATGTGTTCATAATTTCATACAACTGATTTTCAATAAAATTTTAGATCTAATTCCAACAAAATCTTCATCCTCTGAATCAGGTACGCCACCCAAACGCCAACCTTCAAGAATCCTTGTGGTGACAGCCCTCATATGGAGGACTCTCATCGACATTGCTCGAGCCAAACACGGGTACTTAAGGCCTTCCGTATTGTCCCTTTCAATGGACTTACGCGAGAGAACCGGTTTACAACCACCCAAAAACCCTTTTGGCAACCTCTTCACTCACTCGACCGCTAGATTTATGGCGGAGGAGAACAAGATGGAGCTACATGACTTGGTGTTTCTACTCAAGGAAGCAATAAACAAGACCAGTGAGGACTATGCCAATGTACAACATGGTGATGATATTTACTCCATGTTGATAAACCACTACAATGAGAATGGTGCAGACAAGCCTAGCAATGCTGATTTCTTTTATTTTAGTAGCTTGAGGAAGTTCTCTTGCTATGAAGTTGATTTTGGTTGGGGACAACCTGCATGGGTGACTACAACATCTAAGCCTGTCGAGCTGATTTCTCTTATGGATACCAAATGTGGGGAGGGAATTGAAGTTTCAATGACCTTGAATGAAGATGACATGAGAGAATTCGAATGTCATCCAGATATAGTAGCTCTCTCTTCTGCGGAAATTTTAACTAGAGCTTTACCCAAAGAGTGAAATGTGTGGTGTGTGTAGACTTAAAATTAGCATTTTGAGTTATGCGTAGAATAATGACTGTTTTGTTGTTTATTTTAGTAGCTTGAGGAAGTTCTCTTGCTATGAAGTTGATTTTGGTTGGGGACAACCTGCATGGGTGACTACAACATCTAAGCCTGTCGAGCTGATTTCTCTTATGGATACCAAATGTGGGGAGGGAATTGAAGTTTCAATGACCTTGAATGAAGATGACATGAGAGAATTCGAATGTCATCCAGATATAGTAGAGCTCTCTTCTGCGGAAATTTTAACTAGAGCTTTACCCAAAGAGTGAAATGTGTGGTGTGTGTAGATTTAAAATTAGCTTTTTATGAGTTATGCGTAGAATAATGACTGTTTTTTAAACAAGTAATACATAACTAACCAGAACCTCTGATCTGGTTATTGTCTAGTATCATTTTATTGTGTGAAATTGTGGATTTAAATCTTATAGAGAGGTGTTTGATACTTTAAGAAAAAATCAAAAAGCATTGCAAATTGTTAAATTTTCATCAAGAGAAAATAAATTCTCTCTTTATTTTTTTTGGTGAAATACACTCACTTCCTTTAGGTCTAGAGAAAATATAGCAAGTTTCATAGTTTTGACATAATTATATTGGGTTTTCTTAAAGATTTAGTTCACATAACATTTTGCTCTAATTTCATCAATAATTCATTGAACATGTGAATTAGAAAAATAATGTTATCATATCTTTTAAATTAAAATATTTTTTTCTTTATTTATTCTTGTTTTTTTATACGATATCCTTTTAGTATTATTAAAAAAATAAATATAATTATATAAAAATTATTATATTTTTTAAAATTTCAAAAAGGTGAATGTAATTTAACCTTGTTTTTTTGGTGAGAATTTTTTATATGTATAAAACAAATTGCTAGGGAAGGGAGAATAGAAGTTTGCATTGCAATTTAGTCCAGGCCTACGTCACACTGTTTGACCCTAAAAAAAATATTGCAATTGCCAAACCATGTTTACGTGTGCTTACGTTGGGAGAACGTCAAAATTAATAAAACATTATAAAATAAGTTTTAGGTACAAATTACATCATGTTCCAACTAGGTGTCGTTTATAACTATATAAATTGATTACATAATTGGACAGCAAATATACATAAATAGATAATTTTTTTTATACGTAAATCCCATTAATAAAAGGTTATAAAAATTGTTTGAAATAATTTAAATAAATATATTTTTTGATTTTTTATAGAAAGTTGGGTAAAAAGTAGAGAGGTAATTTGACCTTATTTTAATAAGTGCACTTAGTTTATGCCAAATAATCATCTTTTTTTATATTTAATGATTTTTCAAAAATTTGTGTTAAATTTTTAATTTTTTTCTAGTCTATCTAATGTAGAATAATTTTTAAAAAATTTAAAATCAAGATTTTATTAAATACAAAAAAATCATTTTTTTTTGTTTTTATTAAAAATAATTTTATTTTTTTTATTTGTTGTAGATTTTAAAAGTTTAAGGTAAATTACAAATACACCTCTTGAGATTTATTTAAAATACAAATTGCTTCTGTGGTTTGAAAAATTACAAATACATCATTGTCATCATTTTTTATTTGACAAAATTAATTGAAAAAGTGAAATTTCTAACTGTTTATCTATATAATAATAAAATTATTTGAATTATTAATTGAAATAAAATTTTAACATTATTAAAAATTGTTAATTAATTTGATAATTTATTAATAAAAAGATATATTTATTATGAAATTAAAAATCTTAAAAAACATAATATAATTTCTAAAATTTTAAAAAAGAAAAATGATCCGTAGCCCGAATTCGGCTCAAAACCCAAAATGACGTCGTTTTGGGTTTTGATTTTTTTTTTCTTGCTTTTTGAATCAGAATACGGACAGAAAAGAGAGAGAGAGAAGGAGAAAAGAGGAAGAGAGGAGGAGAAGAAGAATTTCAAGAAGATGATCCAATCAAATTCTTCAAGAAGATGATCCAATAAAAAAGATGATCCAAACATTCCTATTACCTGTGCTATGCACGGGATAAAAAATCTGATCTGAAGAAGAATTTCAAGAATTTGGTATGCACGGGATCATCTTCTAAAGAATTTCAAGAAGATGATCCAAACATTCCTATTACCAAAAATCTGATCTGAAGAAGATGATGTTTTTTGTATATATATATATTTTTTTACTTGGTACTTGGGTTTGGATCTGATCTGAAGAAGATGATGCTTTTTGTATATTTATTTATTTTTTTACTTGGGTTTGGATTTGAATCTGCCATCATCGATCTGTTTTTTTTTTTTGACCACCGATCTGTTTTTTTATGCATTCAAAAATTGATTTGGTCACCGATCTGTTTTTTTTTTTTGATCTGGAGATGATGAAGACCTCTGTGTTGTTGTTGATGAAGATGAACTCGGGTTTGATGAAGAAAAAGCTGTTTTTGATTTGGGTTGATCTCTCTCTCTCTCCCCTCCCCTTCTCTTCTTTCTTCTTTCTTCTTCTTTTTTCTTCTGCTTCGTCTCAGTTGTAGACGAGAGAGAAGGGAAAAAAAGAAAAAATAACAAAACGACGTCATTTTACGATTCGAGCTAATTTGAGCTACAGTATTTTTGAGTTACGAATCGAAATTGTTTTAAAAAATAATTTATAATTTAAATAAGGAAAATGAGTGAGAGCACTAATTAGTGCTATCACTAATGATGTGACAGTGGGCTCCACCATGAATAATTTGATGTTTTGACCTTGGTGTTGTATTTTTTTTCTTTTTTTATTGAGTGCCATATCATTAGTGGTCTTTTTAGAGCTCCAAAATTAGTGGTCTCTATCATTGTTGTTTAAATAAATCTCGTAATTTAACCCTTTAAAAAAGTGGGATGAAGGAAAGTACCGAGTGAGCGGGATCCAACGGTCAAAAAAGACAGCTGACTCTGGGTTGAGTGGATAGAGACAAGCCTGCCTATCCCAGCCCATACTCTCTTATTGGACAACCCTTGCGTACGTGCCAACCTCATCTTGTCATCCTAACCGCATCCTTTGTTTTTTAATGAAAATAATTGCCATTGGTATTTGTTTCCTACTATTATTATTATTATGTTCTATTATTTAGTAAGTGTACAACTTTAAAAATAATTATAAATTAATAATAAATTTTATTAATATTAATCATTAAAATTATAAAAAATTTCATACATATATAATAATTTTTTGAAGATCTCATTGTCCGGTAATGTTTCTTACAACACATAAGATATCGGTCCTGTTTGATAAGACTTATTTCCAGCTTATTTCAACTTTTAGCTTAATTTAAGTTATTTTGAAGTGTTTGATTCAGCTTAACAATATAGTTTATAACTTTTTGCAAGTTAAAAATCAACTTATTCTTTGAGTGGAGGATGAGAAGCTTAATTTATAAATAAAAAATCAGCTTATATTTATAGTTATAAATTATAAATCGTTAAGGTACAAGTTTATAATTACTTTCCCATAACTCTACCAAACGGAACACCCTAACTTAAGGAAGGGAAAATGAGGCTCGAGAAACCCATTTCTTAGGTATGGTAAAGATGGCTTCTTCTGCCATTTGAGTTACTCATTTGTCTAGGGTTTAGTGATGTTTTGTGGTTTTCTTAAATTATTATATGCATTTAAGTTTTGTTTAGTTGTGATTAAAATTAATTTGTAGGGTAAAAAAAATTTATTTTATTAAAAAATTAATATATGATTTGACCCTTATTACAAATTAGACCTTGAGATTTTAATTTTTTAAAAATAAATCCTAAACTTTTTAAATAATTTCAATCATTTGTTCATCTTAGCTAGCTTATCTAACAGTAAAAAAATCTTCTTGTAAAATTGTCACTCTCTCACTCACTTGGAGATGTTTGGGAAGTTGATTGTTTTAATAGACTATTTTAGTTTTTAATTATTTTAGTAGGTTAAAATAATTGTGTTTAGAGAGAGATTTTAATTTTTTTGTAATTAGATGTGATATTTATAAAAGAAAAAAATAAAATGATTATGTATTTGATGTGATCTTTTTTATATTATTAATTATTTAACTTGTTTTATCTTTTAGTACTATTTTAATCCAAAAAAACCCATAAAAGTCCCAAACACTTCTTTTAGTTCTAACTTTTACCTTAACCACACTTAAAAAAGTCAAAAAAAAAAAAATTTAAAAATGTATCAAACCAAATGACTTTTTTTTTTATAAGTTTGTTTTTAATTAATAAACTAACTTTTAATTAATTCCTAAAAAAATCTTAGTGTAAAATCAATAAGCTTAACTAAGGATCATGTAATACGCGTTTTATATATTTTTATACATTTTAGTGGTTAACATTTTCCTTATATAAAAATGCCACAAAACATGACTTTAGGATAGATTTCCCTTCCACCAACAAAACATGACTTTAGGATAGAACTCTGCACAGAACATCTGTGTTACTCTGCAATATCAGACGTATTGTTCCTTTTTTTTTTTTTTGAAATTTATGCCTTGGGGATGTCCACCTGGAAGACCACCCGGATGTCCGTCCGGATGTCTTTGGGGACGTCTGCCCGGATGTCCTCTGAATTCCAGATTTTTTTTTTTTTTTGCAATTGATTTACATAATCGGGAAAAATATTTTCTGAAATTTTTTAAATTTTTTATGTGCTTTAAAATAATTTTGAGTTGATGTTTAGTTATGAATTGTAAATTTTTGTATCACATATCAATTGTCACATCAACAATTCCCCACTCAAATCAAACTTCTTTTCTAAAATTATTTTCAAAACTCTTTACCAAACAAATTTTATACACTCAAATCATAATTCTACAACACACAAACTCAAAATACAACTCATACTCTCAAATCACATTTACAAAACACAACCAAACGCAGGCTAGATTTCCACATTCATTTATATTATGCATGATATGATCATTTTTCAAGTTAAAAAAATATTTACAAAAATTGTGAATAAAATTTTTTATTTGGCTTAACTAGAAGGTCACAATAACTTAGAATTTTTTAATTAAAAAATATTGCACAGAGTTCTCTGCAGAGAGTGTAGAAAATTGATTTGAAAACGGAACCAAACATCATGCGCCAAAACACACGTAGAAAATTGATTTGAGAATACAAACAAACAGAGCCTTAGTGTTTAAAATAGATACCACTAAAAATAATATGAAGATAGTGCCAACTGTTATGAGTAATAAAATTTTATATAATATTTTAATTTGTATAAAATATTTCAATTATTGGGAGCATATTTTTTCTTTTTCTTGTTTTCTTATTTTTCTTCTCACACGCGTAGCGTACTTTTCCTATCAATTCGTGCACATTTTCGGTCAAAGTTTCTCAATTTTCCTTCCTTCTTTCCCTCTTTCCATTCATATAAAGAGGAAGACAATATACCCAGTTGGGGTATCCTTTTTGCGATTCGAGAACCGTTGGAGAGGCGGCTTCAACTGCTCAACAATGGCTTCCATCAACATTTCTTGTCCTGCTTCAGCTCCTTCATCTTCAAAGTAAGCTCTATCCCTCACTTTTTCCCATTGAAGTTTCTCTTTTTTTGATTATTGAATTGAAAACTATATGGTTTTTGATTTTATTTTTTTGGGTTTTATGTCATTCCCTTTTGAATCTGATATTCTGTTATTTTCTCCCTCTTTCAATCTGAATATACATGCCTTGTATATGTATGCATGCCTTGTATATCTGATTGAGATTGTAAGACAGATCTTTGTGTTCTCTTATTTTTATCATAAATTTGAAGACGTCATGACTGTATAAGAATTTAACCAAACCGAACCGAACCTAACTACATAAATCATTTTGGGAAAATTGCAAAATCACTCCAGGGTTTGACCTTGTAACAAAATAAACTTGAAGTTTTAATTTTATCAATTTAAATCTTAATATTTTGATTTGTTTTCCATCTAAACCATATGGCTATTTTCGTCAGGTAAAACAAAGGGAGAAAATGGCATTTTAGTTATTAAACTCAACGAAAAATAGTGTTTTAGATATTTTATGTACAATTACATTGAGTTTAATGGCTAAAATGTTTTTTTTTTTTTCATCAGTTTTAACCCTCTGCAGTTCTCCTCCTTTGTTAGTGCTGTCAAAATCTTGTTGGTTTGAGCAGCTATGTTACATGGGCCAGGGTACAGGTTTTTGGTGTTGGTTCGCATTCAAGTGTCGGATTCATCTAATTTTCATGCCCAAGGACACTAGGACAACTAAATTTCATATTTTTATAATTTATTTAGGGTAAAATGGTATTTGCTAACTATTAAAGGGAATTTTGTGCGTAGAATGTTGGTGTTTACAAACAAATAAAGGGAAGTTTATGCATGGAATGGGTCTATGCATAGTAGTTTCATAGTATAATCTACTAAAACATATTTGTTGATGCATGTTTTACTAGACACGTAAGACATATCCCATCCCATACTTCACAAACTTAGAAGAGTCCGTGTAAAAAAGGTGCTATGTTCAAGTTTCAACAGCAGCAATGTTTCTGCCTATCAATGAATGTCAGCTCTCTTTATTATGTTTGACAATGCTATGGTTTCAAACTGAAATGAAACGAGATAGTCTCTCAACTCCCTACCTTAATCCTTCTTTTTTTTTTTTGTTTTTTTTTTTGCATTGGCAATATGAACATGTTCTTGACCATCGTTTATTTATGTATTTATTTTGTAGAGCATTCAAAAACTTCAAATTGTTCAGTGGACTACAGTGTGTGAAACTATTTTCTGCAAATGGGTACACAACCGATTCATCCTTGGTCCATCTGGGAGGCAAATCATTCTTCAGTATCAAGAGTGATGGTAGAACTAAAGCTGCATTGTTATCAAGGGAAGGTGGTGACCTCCGTTCTCATCCCAAAGGTGCTAATACTGTGGCAAGAAGTACTCTTATTGTTGACTTGTCTGCTGGGATTGAGACACAGCCTGAATCAATAGCATTTGGAACACTTGGAGCAGAAACCACTCCTGCAACTTTCGGTTTTCCTGTTGATAATGATGAATTTGATCTAGACTACCCCACAAAAGCTTTCTCTTCCATCCCAGAGGCAATTGAAGATATTCGCCAGGGAAAGGTTGGCTGGTTGTCTCTTTAACTTTCATATGTCATAAAAATTGAAGGGTTCCTCCCTATCACACACACACACACACACACACACCCCGTGTCTTTTTAAATATTAATTTGGAGTTATATTGCAGATGGTAGTGGTTGTAGATGACGAAGATAGAGAAAATGAAGGAGATTTAATAATGGCGGCATCAATGGTTACGCCGGAAGCTATGGCTTTTTTTGTCAAGCATGGAACTGGAATTGTTTGTGTTAGCATGAAAGGGGAAGACCTTGAGAGATTGGAACTTCCTTTGATGGTTGCCCGAAAGGATAATGAAGAGAAACTTTGTACTGCATTCACAGTCTCAGTGGTATGTAGTTGTTTTACTTCTTGACAAAATTGAAGCTACTATGGAATTTTTATGCTTTCTTTTCTTTTTTTTTGTATCAGTTTTAGTTTTTAAGGGCTTGCATTTTTTAAAAAAATTATGCCAATTTCTCATTCTCGCTTGAAAGTTGAAATAAATTCAAACATTGAGATATTGTTAAAAAAAATCAACTTGTGATGTGGACTTGCTTTAGAAATCACTTGTTTAGCAATTCTTCTACTCACATGAGATGGGATGATAATCGATGCATTTGTAAATTATGCTTCTGCAGGATGCAAAAGAAGGTACAACGACAGGGGTGTCAGCTCATGATAGAGCAACGACAATATTGGCTCTTGCATCCAAAGATTCAAAGCCCGAGGATTTCAACCGCCCAGGCCATATATTTCCATTGAAATACAGGGAGGGTGGTGTTCTAAAAAGAGCTGGACATACAGAAGCATCTGTTGATCTCGCTATGCTAGCTGGGTTAGACCCTGTTGCAGTTCTATGTGAGATTGTGGATGATGATGGTTCCATGGCTAGATTACCAATGCTTCAGCAATTTGTGCAGTCACATAATTTGAAAATCATATCCATTGCTGATCTAATCAGGTACATTATAAATCATAATATCATCTCTTGGGAGGGTATTGCTGTCTTACTTTTCCTCATTTTCTAAGTATCCGTGATGTAATTGCTTCATCAATGTTCACATATTTTATTGCCTTTTATAATTTTTTTCATGGCATAAAGAAAGACATTCTTGTTAATTGTATATTATGCAATTACTTCTTCTTAGGGAAAAGTGCAAAAACCTGAACGCAACCAATTATTCCTTTTAAAGTAGGCAAGCAATCATATTGCAAAATTTCCATGTTATTTTCCACATCTAAAAACAATCCTGAAAAGTGTTTGATATGATCTTAGTGGCGAACAAATTGCCTTCTCAAAGCCATCTAGATTAGTTTATTACATGTAAAAAACTTCATTCATAGGACTTCATAAAATAGCATCATTTTCATATTTCTTACAATCATTGGTTATTAAGACTTCATTTTTTTTTCTCAATTTTGTTTTAGGGGTTGGATGTACATGTTGATGGCAAGCATGTAAAAGTTGTCATTCGCAGGATTTCATGAAATAGCATCTTTTTCACATCTGTTATGCTGATGGCTCCATTCTTTGTAATTGACTTTGTCCTAGTGGATGTTTGATGTGTTTTGATGCTCTGGAAAACAAAATAAAGAAATTCCTAATCAATGGGATCCTACAATAACTTGCTATTGTAAATTTTAGTTCTTATCATCAAATTTTGTACAAAAATAATCTGAATTACAAAACATATATCATTGGAATCTTTAGAGTAGTATCATGTATACTGTTTTTGTCTGAAGTTTGGGTGATTTGGCCCTCCTAAGAGATGCACGTTTACTATGCTAGAATTGGCTGAAATAGAATGCCCATTCTAGCTCTGCTTTCCTTTTGTCTTCTTGTTACGGCTTATGCAAGTGGGAATAGCCATTTCATTGGAATAACTATTCATTATTTCAATAAAAAATGAGAATACCTATTTCTGTCTCAAAGTTAAAGAATAGGCATTCTCTTCCATCAAGGAATAATCTTAAAATAGCGTCTGTTGGCCGCCGCCACTGCTGTAGCTGCTATCACCACTATCATGCCACTGCCACCCTATTACCACCACCACCTCAACACCAAACCTTCACCAAAGATAAATTATTTGGTTTTGTTAATTCTGTGGATTTTTAGATGCAGGGATGTCTAGATGAGTTTTATATATCCTGTATACGAAGATTGTGCCTTCTTTGGTTCCTCTTTTTAATCAAATTTACTTGTTGAAAAATTAGAGATCCATAGAAGATAAACAGATTGTTGGCACAAGTGCATTGTAACTTAAAGTTGCAACGCACAAGATTTTGTTAGTTCTTCTGACAAGAAAACATTTTAGATTTTTCTCTGAGATCATTTTCAGCAGGCTTTTTTTTTTTTTTTTTTTTTTCAAATGTAAATTGTGATAGCATCAGATTGTAAATGCACTGACTCTTCAAATATGGATTACAATTGACAGATATAGGAGGAAGAGAGATAAATTAGTGGAACGTTCTTCTGCTGCAAGGATACCTACTATGTGGGGGCCTTTCACAGCCTACTGTTATAGGTCGGTCTTGGATGGGATTGAGCATATTGCAATGGTCAAGGTGAGAAATATTTGTGACTTCTGAAATATTATCTATTTCAAACAATTTTTGTATCTCAGTGACGCTCAACTCAACAAGCGTAATTTCAGTTACTTTGATTTTGTTTATATTGCAACACATATATTGAGGGTATAGTAATCATTAGTAGACTATGCAAGAGCACTCATGCTCATGGTTACTCTTTGCTCAAATTCTTTTGTAAATTGTCTTCTTGTTGCTTGGCCATAAGGGATTCTGGCCTTGTTTGGTTTGTGTTTCTCAAAAAATTTTGAGAAAAATTCTCTACAAATAAGTTTTCAAACGTAATCAAACCAAACAAATTTTTCAAAATTTTTTTCCAAAACTTGTTTGGTTTACAAATTTTCCAAACAAATCTCTCTCTCATACACATCAAATCAATCACTTTTTTCAAAACTCTCCCTCAAAATAATTTTTCAAAATATCTTTTGAAAAAAAACCAAACCAAACAAATTTTTGTACTTTTTATCTCAAAACATGTTTCTCAAATACAAACCATGTTTGGTTTGAGTTTGGAAGATGAGTTTAGAGATAAAAAGTACGAAAGATTGTTTGGTTTCGTATTTTTCAAAAAATATTTTGAAAAATTATTTTGAGAGAGAGTTTTGGAAAAATTTCCCTTCGAGTAAATTATACATACCACTCCTAAGATTTATGGAAACTACAGATTCTCCCTTCTAGTTTGAGAAATTACAATCTCCCCTACCAGAGTTTGTCTTTTAACAAAGTTTATAGAAAAATTAAAATTACCTAATTACTCTCAAATACCAAAAGAAAATTATCCTACTACCCTCATCTCCTTCCTCCCTCCTCCACCCAAACCCCTCCCTGTACACACAGCCTCAGCCACCCTTTCCCGCCATATCCCAACTCTGAAGAACAAGTGTTTTTGCAATTTTGCTCCTGGTTCTGCTTCTGTGTCACATCTTGTCCACAATTTCTAACCATCACCTCTGGCAATCTTTGGGTATTTTGTTTGTTGATTGTTTGCCCAAATATGTGTGTGTTTTGGGTATTTTATTTGTTGATTGTTTACCTGAATATGATTCTAGCTTTCTGTATCGCTTCAGTAGATGCTTTTATTTTTCAAATAAACTTTTGAACAGTGACTTGGAACAGAGAACTGAACTGGCTTTAATTTTTACACATTTTTGTGGGTATTTTTTGGCATGTCCATTAGAAAATGTCAACCTCTACTCGAGCACAAACCCTACAACATGATTTTATTTTAAAATTTTTTTAGTTAGTTACCTTGCAACATGATGATGTGGTAGTGCGGTAAAGAGAGGGAAGATTGGTGCTAGTATATAGAGAGAATAAGACATTGTGAGTGTAAAATGGGTATTTTGAAAAATAAAACTGCTGACATCATCAAACATTTTTAGTTGACCTAACGGTTGACTAAAAAAGGGGGATATTTGTTATGTGCTTTGAAACCTCATGGGCAAAGAAAATAAATAAAACAAGTTTCCTAACCATTTAGGAGCAATTTTAACAAGATTTTTTATGTCAACAGGGCGACATTGGGGATGGGCAGGATATCCTTGTGAGGGTACATTCAGAATGCCTCACAGGGGACATATTTGGATCGGCCAGATGTGACTGTGGGAACCAGCTGGCACTTGCAATGCAACAGATTGAGGCTGCTGGCAAGGGTGTGTTGGTATATCTTCGTGGCCATGAAGGGAGGGGCATTGGTTTGGGCCACAAGCTCCGTGCTTATAATTTACAGGATGATGGACGTGACACTGTGGAAGCCAACGAGGAGCTCGGTTTGCCTGTTGATTCAAGAGAGTATGGCATTGGTGCACAGGTATAGTGGTTATCTTTTCTCCTACATACTATACTACTATTTAGTTTTCCCCAACGTGAGTGTAGGTGGCTTCATTTAAAGTGATTTTTTTTGTTTTTTGGAATTAGTTTTCCTGTGATTATTTGTGGTGCTTTTGAAAATGATATTAGATTTTCTATGCCCCTTATTTTGCACACTTAATAGCAATCTATGCTATTTCATGGTTGGTCTCTTTGCAATTTTAACCCTATTGCTATGGTCAATAGAAAACAAGTTTATTTGCGATTTTTTCAATTTTTTTTTCTCACTTCTGAAAGGTGGAAAAACATTTTACTGACTAAAATCTTACCACCCCAGCACCACCACCTCCTCCAACACCATTAATACAACTACTAGCACATTAGTTTCAAGGTTGCAACCAAATATTCTCCAGAAACAAACGGAGAGTTAAATTCCCCAGTCAGTATTTAGCAAGTATGATGACTATCTCTAATCTTCTTCCACTATCCTATGACCTCGTTAGGGCATAGAATCAAGGGAATTTCAGCTTACTAAGTGGATTTAAATAATTATTTAATTTAAAGAAGGAAAAAAAAAAAACACTTCATTTTAATCGTCTGTCACCATTTGCAGAAGTATCAGTTTGGGATCCAGAGTTAAAAAGAAATTTTCTATATTATACTACTCACCTGGGTTACAGATCTATTAGAAGAGTAAAGCTTCTTTCTCCATTACTTCCTTGCAGAATAGTTTTGGATATCATATATACTATTAGTTAATTACTTTTGTATCCTTTATCATTGCAGATACTAAGAAATCTTGGGGTTCGAACAATGAAGTTGATGACAAACAACCCCGCAAAATACATCGGGCTCAAGGGGTACGGTTTGGCGGTTGCAGGGAGAGTCCCCCTCGTGACACCCATTACAACGGATAACAAAAGATACTTGGAGACAAAACGTGCCAAAATGGGACACGTGTATGGTGTAGAATTCAGTGATCTCATCAGTGGAAATGGTAAAACTGAGTTCTGACAGTAAGACTGATATTGTACCTGACATTTAACCTTGCTTCCCCGATTCACACACAGGCAAGTTACCCAGATGGGCTAGTATACATTATGGAACGGTAACCATTGCAAAATTCCATTGTTCTGAAGCTAGATATAATATTGATTCTTTCATGGTCATTGATGAAATTCAACAACCCGTGTACTACAGAATATGATCGAAATTCTAGTGAAAATTCAGGAAAAGATGTTGTATGCAATTCTTTGCAGTGTAAAGCACACATTAAGAGGAAATTCCTGTTTCCATGGAATAAAGTACCTATCTAGTTTCAATAGCATTACTTATTTTTCGAAGCAATTCCGCAGAAAATAGGCCATAATGGTAGTTTTGCCTCTGGAAAACTAATGAATTCCGGACTTGTATTTCGAATATATAAATACATTTTTACTGTGTTTCTAATTCTTGTTTTGTTTTGAATGTGTGGTTGCATGTGACAAATGGGAATCATGGCTTATTTAGTAGAGATAGATATAGTTGGTTGATGTGAGGATGCACAAAGATTATGGGTCATGTTTGATTTACAATACTAATAGCGAGGTATTAATAATTCTATTAAATTGGTGTGGTATTCACTATCTCATCCCTATTCTATTACTAATAATTTTACAAATTTATTGGATTAATTATTCATTGGATTAATAATTCTAAATTAAAATGTCAAAACAAATATAGGATAATTGAGTTCACGGATTAATAATTTTAATCTCATGTTTTAATCATTCCAATCAAACATGCCCATAAAGATTTACATAGATGATTCAAGAATTAGGACTATGTTCGGTAACTCTGATTTTTTATTATTCACAATCATCTTAGAATAACAAGATATAAGAAATAGTTTGTCAACTGGTTAGTGTTCAGTATGCATCGCAATTAGTGGATCATGTGAGGATCTCAATGCATAATCTTCTGATTAGAGATGTACTGTGATGAAATATATAAATTTAGGAAAAGAGAACTTCCTATGGTTAACTCAAAATTATTAGATATGATTGTTCTACTAAGTGAATATTTAATTATGGCTTATTTTGAGAAATAGATTAAAAGTTAATTTTTTTTAAAAAAAATTAAAAAAATATGTAAGAAAAGATAAAGAAGTAATATGTGATTTAAAAAATAAAATATTGGCTTTTAATCCAGTTAACAGATATAAGCCTACATATACTTGTAGGGTTTTACATTAAGCAAAATTCACAAAACTCTCTCTCTCTCTCTGTGACTTTTTAATATATAATAATATATTCAGATATGTGACCAACCCAAAACTAAAACTGGAGACTCCTAAAGGTTTCATTTGAGTATTCTATTCTCATCTATCTATACTTCTATCTATCTACATTATATAAACTAGCATGAAACCGTAATATGTAGCGAGGAGTGACTATCTTGCTTGCTTTTAGGAATTTTATGTTGCCTGTTGTGTTTAAGTAATAGTAAGGAGTGAAATGAATATATAGTTCTAATTATAAGAAAATAACATATAAATTATAATATATTATTAGTTGTGATGCTACAACTAGTCTCTGAAGAACGGATTGGACTGATCTATGCCTCCCACACGATTGTTCGATCGTTGGCCCCATGGAGAAACCTGCACAAGAGTTCAGCGGGGAACGGGAGTCCCCCAGAGAACCATCCGATGAACAAGTTAGAGAAATAATAATTAACGGAATATTGAGATTGGATTGTGATAAAGAACTTAACATTCTCTCTGTCTTAGAAACCTGCTTATATCCTTTGCTCATCATTTCCTTGTCCACTTCGACCTGTCATGTTGGTCGAAAGTCTATGCTCTAACTTGCCTTGTTCATGGTAAGGTTGTCATGTTCTGACGTGAAGGGCTTATCGTAATAAATGTTGCAGGGGACCTCATTAATGGCTGATGTATGGTGCAATAACTCTGTAGGATCTTTGTCTGCTTATGTGATTGGTTCCTCTCTTGACAGGTGTTTAGATGTCATTGGTCCTTAATGCAACGTTGGGCTCCAGCAATGTTGGGTTTTAGTGTTTGAATTATGAATTGGGCTCTAAGTGGTGGGCCAAAAGCTCCTATAGGCCCACCTATGTCAGTAGTCCCCCATTCACAAGTGTAACTTCAGTCCAACGAAGGAAATAAGAAATAAGACAAAGGTTATGAGAGGTCAACGGAGAGAAGACCGACTAGGATTTGGGCCGACCGCGAAAAGTTGACCGGGTGAGAAAGCCGTCTACGAGGAGGGCCGACCGCGAAAGGTGATCGAGTGAGAAGGCCGACTACGAGGAGGGCCGATCGCGAAGGGTGACCGAGGGAGAAGGCCGACTGCGAGGAGGGCCGATTGCGAAGGGTGACCGAGTGAGAAGGCCGACTGCGAGGGGGACCGACCGTGAAGGGTGACCGAGTGAGAAGGCCGACTGCGAAGAGGGCCAACCGCGAAGGGTGACCGAGTAAGAAGGAGAAATGGTGGCGCGCAGGCCTCGAGGCGCGGCATGGCACGTGATGATGTGAAGTGGAATAGATAGGGAAGGGGAAGAGAGTAGTGGATCGTGGTCGTACACGTGACACAATCTCGTAACTAGGGAAGTGATGAGTTAGCAGGAAATGAAGGGATAGGCTAATATAGAGTGTTGAAGAGGCGGGGGCGGAAATTTTTGAAAATTTTCAAACTGGCGAAATTTAATCTTGACCCTTGGAATATAGGAAAATCGTGGGCGTTTGGAGTTATTCGCTTTACCTACCTTTTTGCAAAAAACCAACACGTCCCAGAAGTGAACTCATTTGTTTCGTGTGATACACCTCTGCAACACTTTGCAAACTTTCTTATGCCAGCGTCTGAAGCTACACGCAGACACATAGGAGATATGGCTCGAGATGAAGTGCCAACCATGAGACTAGACTCTTTGGGGGACGACAACGCAGTGGAGTTGACGGAATGGAGGGAGGAGAGGGGAGCGGGCAAATGGTGCAGGCTCGTCCGATAACGATGATCGCCGCTGCTAGGCCAATTAGCCAAGTGGAGCCGAACCACTAGCACACCAAGGCCGACAGGTCAACATTCACGGCGGAGGAGTTGGAGGAGGTACGAAGGAAGTACCAAATTCCGGCAGAGATAGTGTTGAGGGTGACCACAACTAAAGAGAGGGCATTAGATGCACGACAGGTAGAATTCTCATTGTACAAGGAAGCATTGCGAGGAGACCTAAGGTTGCCGATCCTTCAAGTAGTGGTAGACATACTGAACTGACTGGAGGCAGCGCCGGGGCAGTTGATACCCAACGCATGGAAAATTATAATGGCCTGCGCGATCGCATGGCCACGGGCGACCGATGGAGCGGTGATGACAGTGGAAAAATTCTTTTCTTGCTACAAAGCGTCTGGTCAACAAGAGACGTGGGTGACTTTGCAGGCGGTGGCGGACAGGGGGTTAGTAGGTGTGTTGCCCTCGTCGGTGAAGGGGTGGAGGCCGAGATGGTTCTATGTGTCAGCAAATGGTGGGGGGGAGTGCGTACGACATGGAAAGTCCCGACGAAGTCGATGAAGTCGAAGTTTGGGGCGGAGGCAGAGGGCAAAGTGAAAAAGGTGAAGAAGTGGAGGGAGAAGGAGGGTGTGAGGTAGGACAACCTTGTCCGTCCTTCAGCGCTGTGTGCCTTAGGTTTAGGACCGCAGCCGATGAAAGAGGACCCCACCCTGGAGGAGTTGGAGGCGAGGCGAAAGGCGGAGGAGGTGGAGAAGCGGAGGACCTTGGCCAGGGCAAAAAAGAATAAGGAGACTCGGCTGGGGCCTGCTCCGAAGTTGGTGATGAAGGAGAGAGTCCGACCTCGCTCGAAGTTGTTGGGAGGCAAAGAGCTAACTGACTTTGCCCCGCGGCAGCCCCTAGTAGACCTTCTGAAGAAGAGATGTAAGCAGGAGGTGGCGGCAGTGTTGAAGAAGAGGAAGAAGAAGAGGGCGGCGGCAGAGGGTGTAGAGGGGAGTAAGGACGCCCCTGCTCTAAAGAGGATGAAGGAGGGGAGCGCGGAGGAGGCGCCAGGAAGGGAAATTTCCCAAGCGACAAAGGAAGGTGTGAGCCCAAGACCCCAAGTGCCAAAAGGAGATATGGGTCCGATCGCCCAAGTGCCAAAAGAAGATATGGGTCCAAGCGCCCAAGTGCTGAAAGAAGTCATGGGCTCACATGCCCAGGCGGAGGCGACGTTGGGGGCTGTGGTAGAGATATCTCCCAGTTCTAGTGAAGGGAGGACTGGGAGTAGCGGACTAGAGACAAACGCCGCGTTGAAGACCGCCATGTACCACACGCACGCAGTTGCAGGTCGGTCGGTAGAACAAAGGCGGGAGGCCAGGGCAGCGGCCGACCAACTCGTTGGAACGCTAGACGATGCGGCCGTGCGGTCAAAGGCGCGGTTGACAGAGGCCAACCTTCTGAAAGGGGTCTGCTCGGCCCAGATGGAGGCGGTGACCTTGGCGGCTGCCCTGATGAATAAAGTAGCGCGGGCAAAGATGAAGGTAGAGCCACTGAGGACCCAGCTAGAAAGGGTGAAGGTGCAGCTGCAGAAACTGAAGGTGGAGACGACGGGTTGGAAGAAAGCCGCTCGAAGTGCCTACGCCAAGGGGCTGGATTATGCGCAGCGAGCGAAGAATATAGAGGTATTGGCGGTAGTGCAGAGCTATGCAGTAGAGCGTTCTGGTGTTGAGCTCCTCGCGACCAAGTCAGAGCTAAAAACGGAACGCCACAATGCGGTATCGTTAGAGTTCGAGCTGGTGGGTGAGAAGAGGCAGTTAGAGCTGGTCCAGCAAGCCTGCACCAACAACGAAGAATTTCGTGACCAAGCGATCAAAGACAGAGAAGAGGCAGATGGTCGAATTACGAAGTTGGAGAAGGCCCTGGCAGAGGAGAGGGCAAAATTGGCATCTGAGAGGGCGGCGTATCCTGACTTGTGTACGACGGTCGTGGAGCAGTTCAAGAGGTCCGCCGAATTCCAAATAGCTATTGATGTCGCTGTCACCAGTAGTTTGGCGACGGAGAGGGATAGGGGGGCTGGGTCGTTGGGAGCGGCCGCTAAAAGTAGGAGTGAAGAGGAAGTGATCCAGAACTTCCAACAATCTGACTTCTACAAGCACGAAATGAGCGAGTTCTGGGACAGCGGCTGGATGACCTTCAAACATAAGGCGTAAGAGCTATTCCCAGGAGTAGACTTCAGCCTCATGAAAGTAGGCGAAGACGACGTCGCCCAGACCCCCTTGGACGAGGGGATTGAAGAGGAAGATCTTGCCTCTAGTGAGGAAGAGTGATTGGTGTAAAAAATTTCTGTTTGTGTTTTGTTTTGTTTTTTTGTATATAATTTGGTGCAACGATTTGTATGAAAGCGCAAGGTTATGAATAAAACAACGAGTTTTCTTGTA